TAGGTCCCACCCTGACACAGTGGGAACCACAATGCTTCCATTCTATAGCCCCTTCTCTGCCAGTGTGAACAAACATCTTCATGATGTAGTCCCTGCCCCAACACAGTGGGAACCAGCACTTCCATTATGTAAAATCACCCTGACATAGTGTGAACCAAGCATCTTCATGATGTAGACCCTCCCCCAACACAGTGGGAACCAGCATCTTCATGATGGAGAATCACACCAACACAGTGTGAACCAGTATCTATATTCCTGGCAGTCACTATCCCCATCTATCAGTCTGCTCAAGAGAGTGACTTCCATTAGCCCCTTGGTCTCAGCTTCTCCTCGTAAAGGACTGTAGACAGTTCTTATGTGAATCATAGAATCAAAGGATGGCAGAGTTAGAAAGATCCATAGAGGTCACCTAGTTCAATCTTTCATTTTTCAGATGGAAAAACTGAGGTCTAGAGGGTGGCACAGTAGAAAGAGCATGAGCTATGGAGACAGAGGACTTGGGTTCAAATCCTGCATCTGATGCTTACTACCTAAGTGACTTTGGGTAAGTCACTTAACCTTTATGGGCCTCATCATCTCTCTGTAAAATGAAGGGGCTGGATAGCTGGCCTCTGAAATTCCTGCCAGCTCTAGATCTCTGAGCCTTTGGAGTTTCTGAAACCAAGGCCAAACAGAGGTAGTGATGTGTCCAGGGCCACATGGCAAGTTAAAATTGAAGCCCCTTGTTCGCTCCCTCGCCTAAAGTCAGGCTCTTCCTTCAACCCATAGATGTACCCCCTGATTCTATGTCCCTGGCCTCCATCTGTGCAGCTCCCATCAAACCTGGCTGGGAGCATTACCCTGCAACCAATGAATTCGGCTCAGGAGCAGGGCCCGAGGGAAGACGGCACCAGAGCAGAAGAGAATTCTCCAGCATAATGTAATAGCTGCACAGCTGGCCCCCTGCTGGTATTGTCATCATCAGCATGACTAGCGGGGCCAGGAGCTGATGTTCCTCTTCGTAAAAATGATGGTTCCCCGTTCAGGAAACATCCTTCAGTATTTTTGTCCTATCTGTATTGAGGTCAGGGAAGCGATTTCCTTCCTCGTCCTATCTCTGGGGACAAGGGAACAGTCCTTTCTTTAGAAGGACCACGGATGTGGGAAGAGGTTAAATGGTAAAGACTTCTGGAGCTGTGTGTCCTGTTCTATTTCTGGCAGCCCAGGCCCTCAAAGTCTGGGAGCAGTGGAGAGAACGTTGGAGTTAGAGGAGAGGGCTTGGTTTCAAATCCTGCTCACATGGATATATTCACTTCCATGTTTTCTGAAGCAAGGCACTGAGGTCGTTTTACTTAACTCTGCCACAAAAGGTGATCATGCCCAAAGCTATTAGATACTGGAAATCCTAGAAGAAAAAGCCTTTCTCACTAAGCATGTAGAACTTCCCTGACACAGTGTGAGCCAGCATTTTTATTATGTAGAATCATCCTGACACAGTGTGAACCCAAGAGAGCCCATAGATAGAAGTTTAGCGCTCACTAACCTTGACCAAAACAGGGTCTAACAGGAGTAGAAACTTATAGCCAGCCCCTTATTTCTAGTTGGTTTTAAATCCAGTTGGAAAATAACATAATAATGTTATATTATAGAACATAGAAAGAGCACTGAATTTAACATCAGAAGCTCTGGGTTTTAGTCCTGGTTCCATTTCTAACTTGACCTTGGGTAAGTCAACTACTTCTTAATTCTAGGCCTCCACTTCCTTTTCAGTGGAAGTAGGGGGTTGGGTTATGGTATAGTCGAAAGAGCGCCGGATTTGAAGTCAGATGACCTGAGTTCAAATACCACCTTAATCATTTACCCCTTGTGTGACCCTGAACAGACACTTCAGCTCCCTGGTGTGAAGCAGCACCCTTAGCAGGAAGAGCTAGTCTGATGTGGTGGGAGCTGGCCTTGCATTCCTGGCTGCTGCCATGCTCATCACTCAGGAATGTTCAAGAGGATGGCTTCCACTAGCCTCCTGGCCAACTGGGACTTTCACCCTCTTGTAAAGAGGCATTTAAGTGACGCCTGGAGTCAAAGAATGGCAGAGTTAGAAGAGGTCATCCAGACGAATCCCTCACTTTTCAGAGGGTAAAACTGAAGCCCAGAGAATAGCGCAGTGAAAAGAGTTCTGTGTCTAGAGGACTGGGTACAGATCCTACACCCGACGCGTTTTACTTATGGGACTTTGAGTGAGCTACTTAATGACTCTCCTGGGCCTCACTGTTATCCTCTGTAAGATGAAGGGGTTGGCCTAGGGGGCCTCTGGGGTCCCTTCCAACTTTGGATCCAGGAGCCTCAGTTTCCTCATCTGTAAATGAGGAGGAGGTTGGATTAGATGGCTTCTGAGGGCCCTTCCAGCTCTGGAGCTGTGAGCCTGTGAGGAGATCCCTAGCGTCTCTTCGTGCTGTAGGTCCTGTGATTCTGTGACCCAGCCAGCTCACTCATTTCAACGTCAAACCATAAAGAGTGACCTCTGCTATAAAGAGAAGGTTCTGGTTCTCTTTACCAAAGAGGGATCAAAATCAGTGAGTGTCAGTGGGCACCTGCTATGTCCTGTGCCCTAGCCTCGTCCCAGGCACTAGGGCTGAAACCAGCAGAGGGCTGGTTTTTAATTGGGGCAAGCGGGGCTTCCCTCCAGGTACTGACGTGGGTGGGGTGGGGCACATTTCTAAGGTTCCTCCCCAGGGCAACTTACAGAACCTGTCCCTTACAGTGCCTTGACATCCTTCCCGGAGGCAGAAGGTGGTCACTGCCCTAAAGGAGGCCAGCTACCTTCTCCTGTAAGTAGGACTGTTCTGTGCAGGAAATGGAGAGAACAAGGTGGGAAGGACCACTAAGGACAGGCTTCATATGGGACAGTGTGGTCTAATGGAAAATTGACTGATCTGGGATTCAGGACACCTGACTTAGTGGATTACTGCTTTTTAATGAGAGGGCAGGAGTTAGGAAGGGCAGGCTTGCTTCTTTCTTTTTTTTCTTTTTTTTCTCTATTTTCTTCCCTCTTTCCTTCTTCCTTCCCTTCCCTCCCTCCTTCCTTCTTTCTTTGTTTCTTTTTTCTCTCCCTTCCTTCCTTCCTTCCTTCCTTCCTTCCTTCCTTCCTTCCTTCCTTCCTTCCTTTCTTTCTTTCTTTCTTTCTTTCTTTCTTTCTTTCTTTCTTTCTTTCTTTCTTTCTTTCTTTCTTTCTTTCTTTCTTTCTTTCTTTCTTTCTCCCTCCTTCCCTCCCTCTCCTCCTCTTGCCCTCTCTCCTTCTCTCTCTCTTTCTTTCTTTCCTTCTCAAATTGACTAAAGCAGGTTAGTAGCTCAGGGGTTTGAGGCAGGGTTTTTGAAGAAAGCAAGTTTTATCCTTTTTGAAAAACAAACAAAACAGAGATCAGGACTTCCCTTTTTAAGACTTCTTGAAGTCCTAGCTCTTGATAATGTGGCTGATTTGACCGCAGAGATCTAACTAATGGGAAACTATGAATAGCTTGACAGTAGGGACTATTTTTGTATTTATTTATTCATTCATTAATCTTTCTATCTAGTTTGTTTCATTTTTTTTTCGCCTTGCTTTGTATCCCTAGTTCTTAGTATAGTGCCTGGAACCTTGTAAGCACTTAATAAATATGTGTTGACTTGATTTGAGTGTTGTTCCTGGCATCATAATTTAGAGGATACCAAACGGCATTTGTACTTGTCCAGCAGCTAGAAACAACTGAGCTTAGCACCCAGTTAATAAGAATAATTCATTTAAATAAGGTCTTCCTAATGGTAGCCCCCGTGTCCAATCTGCCT